GGGCTGGTGGTGCGTATTGCCTTGATGTGGATCACCTAACTCGTGGACTTCTAAAGCCCGTCGAAACGCATGCCGTTTCAGATGTATGGTCTCGTGGTGTGTGTGTGTGTGTGTGTGTGTGTGTGTGTGTGTTGTGTGAGTGACTGTGTGTGTGTGTGTGTGTGTGTGTGTGCATGTGTGCGTGTGTGTGTCAAAATGCATGCCGTTTCAGATTTATGGTCTCGTGGTGTGTGTCTGTGGTAGGGACCGGTGGATTCTGCTCGAAAAGGTGGCAGATTCTGCTCGAAAAGCAGTGAAATTGGCAGAACCATACAAACCTCATGGCGGGCAATTCCTCGAATTCTGCTCCATTTCTTTATCCACATACCAAACATGCATGAAACTTACCAGAAAAAGTACCGAATTCTGCCAATTTTCTGCCGGCAGAATCCGCCGGACCCTAGTCTGTGGGGGGGGGGGGTGTTTGTGTGTGCGCGCGTGTGTGTGTGTGTGTGTGAGTCTGTCGCGCTCACAATATCTCGTTTTCTGCTTATGAAGCTACATGTACATGTACATGTACATGTATGTGTTATTTGTAGAAGATTACAACGTAGAGGTGATTGTCTGCTTTGCGTTCCTCTCTGCTTGGCCTGCATTATCAATTTATCAGTACTGGTTTTTGCTCTTCACACGTACACGTACCCCCCCGCACACAAACAAGCACTCGCACGCATGCTTACATGTATGTATACGGTTTCAGTTTGAAAAATGCAAAGTGTCCTGTACATGTGTGCGTCTGATGCATTCACACGAACTTCAACGGTCTATGCATATACCATGCACGCGTCACTTCTCCTTTGAGGAAAGAAAACCAAAGCATATCAATACAATCACATACATGTATACAAACTTTTAAATGTGTGTGAATGTACAACGTATGTTTGTCTTGTTTATGCTGTGTGTCACTTTGCTCTGGGCATGGAAATTCGGTCGTATTTGCGAATTGTCGTTATATATGCAGTGGTTATTAGAGAAGTTGACTGTGTGAATGTACAAAGTACGTTTGTCTTGTTTATGCTGTATGTCACTTGCTCGGCCACCCGTGTTGCGTTCTCTCTGTTTCGGCTATTGCTACTGCACTGTTCTAGCCAGAAATTATTGTTGATAGGGAAACCGAGTGCAAACCTGGCTAGGCTTTGTTGGTGAGGTACTCTCATGTGTGCGTATCCGTGCTCGTTTTTATTCCTCCGACGGTGTGGCACACACATGTGAAACCGGCATGTACGAACAATGTGTGTGCATCCGCGGCACGCATGTTTGACATGTTTGTGCTCCACGTGTGCATGTAGGATCTAAACGTGTGTAACGCAAGCATGTGGGGCACGCCCATTACGTCTGCGGCACCGTGACATGGCCAGTATGTGATGTCCGACACGGGTGTGCAGGAGTGGCGCGTGGGCGTGTTCGCAGTGTGCACGTCTATACTCCAGCGTATTGTCCACTTTCCTGGTCCCAGGAGGGTTTTGGATCTGTGGAAAACACGTGAACTGAATACAGTGGAGTTAGTTTGAACTCTTGTGTGCTTTCTGTAGACAGGTTTATCTACGGAATTGAGTATGGTCAAGAAATGCGTCTGAAAAACCTGGAGCACCATCGATTTTGCCATAACCATTACTCGAATGTCCGAGAGCAGGGTCGAGGGCAACCACATTGTCGAAAATTACACCTGTTCACGCCCTCCTTTCAGGTTACTGGCTCGTTTTCGCCGACTGCTCTGAATCGTACGAAAAATTCAAATGTTCTCCGCCGAATGGCACCATCACAAAGTCTTTCGGATCATTTTCGATATGCACCTCGCGAACATACCACCTTCCTGCACCCATACACCACAAACAATGCATGCTCCATTCGACGAGGTGGGTGTCATGAGTGTTCTTTCACGTCAGTCGCCGAAAGTCATTTCAGGGTGAGAATCGTTCTCAAGAAAAAGATCGCAAAAATCAGTGTAAGTCTCGATGGAACGCTTGAGGATGGACTGTTTTTGGAGAAAAAAACTTCAGAAACATAATGGACCGTATGCGTGTTAAAGGGGAACTCCACGAAAACATGAAAATTTGATAGCCTGTAGAGTTTCGGGCGCTGAGTCGAATGGTCTTGGTCCGAAGTCTCTACGAGAAAGCGTTCTTGAGATATTTCAATTTTAGCCACGCCCCATACCAATGTATGTGTGACGTCATTGTGGCAATGTGCGAAAATACTTGGATTTTGAATCTCACTTTCTTCAGGACGAAAGTCACTTCAGAAAGTAGTTTGCCAAGTCGCCTGAGCCGCTGCAATGCCAAATTGTTGTGTTGTTGATTGTGCCAGTATCACATCATCCTCCTGGGGTTAGTTTTCTCAAATTCCCAAAGGATGGAGACCTGGCAAAGCGCCGAGATGTTGCAATGCGTCGTGAAAATTTCAAGCCTATTTTCGCAGCACGAGCTATGTTTGCTCGCTGCATTTATGATCCAGAGGGACTTGAGAGCTGAGTTTTGACGAGTACGAAGTGATTTGTAAAAAATTTACATGGCATATTATTTTACAAATCGAGTAAAATATCATTGTTGAGGGCGATTGCGTTCTTCCCCTGAAGTGTTCTTGTTAGTTCGACAGACAGTCAGTTGCCATTGAATTGTAGTTTGTAAGCATCAGCAGCGTTTGGCGGAATTGTTTTCTTCCACGGCCTTGTGAGACATAAATCATGGATCGAAATTCGTGAATTTGTGGTCAATGAGGTAAAATATCCCTCAATGGATGCTTGAAGGACGTCCAAGAGCCAACGAGCATATTCTACGGCAGGTGGAAACCCTAGGCTGGTCACCGATGCCAGCATTGAGTCTGTCACACCATCAAAGTAGCAGGGCTGAAGAAGAGATTAGCCAAAAAGGTGAAGGTCAGAAACTGCAATTTTGACAAAAGGTGTCTTTCACTCACTTATCATGAAAGGTGATTCAAATCCAAGTCCGAAGCTGCTGATGCTTATGGCATACAGGTAAATAATTAGCCGTTCAGTAGACCTACGTATGGAACTCAGCTTGCTATCTCGGAAGTGCTGGTAGAGATTCACCACGGCAAAGTGCAAATGCAGGAAATGCGGCATGAATGTATGTTGGGTGTTGACGGCGGAGCACCCATTGAGGGTGGTCTGCAGTCTTCTTCCAACACAGAAGTATATGAATCAAGTGAAGGAGTCACTGCACTTGTCTTGGAGAGTATGGAAGCCCCGACATTGTCAGTATGTGCCGGTTAAATGCACTGTAGCCCAGATGCACGAAGGCACCCTGTCGTGGGACTGCTGGCGCGCATCATGGATGGTATCTTTGCTTATTGTGGTTATTTCACGCATGAGGATGCACTGCAAGTTGAAAGAAATGGAGCAGCAAGATAAGGTCTGCGTGCTCATGCTCCACAATGCCGGCAGGCGCTCAAAGATACCCTGTCGTTTTGAACCGCAGTTGACGACGTACAGAAACCAATACGTTGGGCAACCTGCAAAACCAGTCTGCTTTCTCTGCATGTGATTTGCTTCAGATGTATCTTGATTTCCCATTGCAAGCTTATTGACACATTTAGGTCATATTTGTTGATGTTAGACCCTATTTTACTGACTTGTAAAATTTTGTACACACTTTTTCTGGGTGAAAAAATGCATGCAAAGCAACCCCACACTGTGTCTCTCATGTTTGTGGTGTTCGATCAAGAAGTCCATACGTGGATAGAGGACATACATAGTGACAGAATGAGACCATGCACACTTCAAAACTCGCCAGGGCAACGGAATGATAGCCTTTTTTACTTTCATGTAAAATTATTACAAATCACCTCGTACGCCGTCCAGGAAAGCCCTCATCAGTGTACCAGTGCCCTCCGAACCGTGAGCCTCCAGCAAAGCGAACTCAACAAGCTGCAACTGAGAAAGCAGGGCGAGATACGTCCCATCAGGATCAGAAGAGTACATCACCCCATCAACTCCGACTGCAGCTAGCTGATGAACGATATTACCCCAGTAACTTTGCCATACCAGTACTCAAACTGTGCACATCTGTCATCAACTGGGACGCAAACAGACAGACCCCCAGCAAGTACGAAAGTTACAGAACTGTTTGCTTGCGATGTGCAGGCAGCATGCACGACGAACTGTCTCACCAATCCTGCCAAACCGAACCAGTGTAAGTTGATTGCGTGGATATGTCTCTATTTATAACAGCTACCCTACTTCAAAGCATGGTTGCATGAATACCATATCACTCAGAGCAGTTGTTAGAAGTCTGGACAGCCTTGGAATAGTGCAAGTAAAGTGAAACAAAAGTATATTACACTCCGAGTTCCACGCTTGCGGGATCACCAGGCCAAAAAATCTAATTTCGAACAAGGAATGGGTTCTGGTTGTATGCGAGAGAAAAGTAAGTGAAGACCTATTGTGCAAGGAATACAGTGGGAACTACACATATTATACACATGCACTCACACCATCACCCACATGCGCGCGCGTGCGTGTGCGTGCACACACACAAACACAACAACACACACACATACGCACCCACATACTCAAACTCACTCGCACGCACGCTAGCCTAAGGATAGTACATATGCTGTAGTAGTGGTATACTTAGTGAAATGACTATGTGTACATCTAATGACGCCGCCACTCCACGCCAGAAGACAACAAACATCTGCTGCAACATTTTTGCTCCCGTCTCTTATGGGCAACACAGGGAATGAAACGAACAATGCAATTGAGAACAAGAGTCGTCCTGTACGGTGAAGTTTCCATTTTCTCATACAGCAGTATATTGTCTAAGCAAGTGTGTTTTCTCCACATTCTTTTTGCCATGCAGGTATATCACAGTGTCATGCCAAACTACATTCTCAAACGCATTCGTTTCTCAATTCTGGGGATGATTGGACACGCACATCTCGCAGCTCTTGACGACGTCAATGTCAACCGTCGCCACAGCACAACCAAAAAGACCGCGATAGGAAGGTATAAAGTCCAGTTCTCAAAGCATAAAGAAGACTGTGGCCAAATAGAAAATTATACGACAGAAAGAGCTATGAGTATGTTGACAAGCTCATGTGTGAGGTGGTAGCGGTTGCAAATGGCAACCTCCATGTTCCTGCCTTGGAGAAGCGTGTTTCCCTGCCAAATTCCAGGTGGAAGCCTCCTGAGAAGGCTGAGGTGGTGCAGGATTTGGATATCTTTGCCTGATGGTATTCACAACGCAGGCTGGAAGACGACAACGAACGTGCTTGCCCAATTTGCCGTGTACATAGTGTGTACTGCCTGTGTGCCGCATAGCGTAGAGATCTACACAAACACAGAATGTCATATGGAATGTGTATGATGAGTGCTTGTACACATACCACATTGCTGTACCGTAATAATTATTATAGTCAAATACTCATTTACTCTACATATGCGCTGTATTGCACCTACCGGTACCTACCTGCACTTTCAGTGCGCGCGCCATACTAATTTAGTGTCCACTGGTACAAAGATGGAGGGTCTTGTAGAATTTACCATAATTGCTGATTTCAAATTGAATTCCAATGATCTGGGGGATGAATACTGATTAGGACGCGTTCGATTACCTACTAGTACAGAGATGTCTTGGTCAGAAAGTACAGATTTCTTACTCTCCTGCCAGAATTTGTGCATTATTTTGGTGTACGCTTTCTTGACCCCACGCTTGTACGTTGCATGCCATGGTATACTAGAAAACGAGTTTATTGACAAAGTCTATCGCTTGAAACGATAAAGTATGGGTTCGGGTGTGATCAAATGCACCCATGGTGCTCATAAACTGTGTGCAGTGCTCTCTTCACCAACAGAACACTACCTACCATACTTTGTAGATCTTGTACCAATCCAAGGGAAAATGACAAAGACAAATGTGAGTCATGCCTGAAAACTTGTGATAGCACGGTCTATAGTACAGAACAACGTTGTTCGTGCTATGCCTGACAACAATAATTAGTTACACACAAAACATTACGCGCATCGATCCTCACAAGATAAGTCAAGGCATACTCGGAGCAAAGAGAAATTTGTTTGTGTCATGCATGAAACTTGTGATAACTACCAGTACAATGTCTTTCTTGTGCGACGCCTACTGTAGTGCGCCTGACAACAATAAATTTCCCCCCAAAAAAAAAATAAGTGTATCATGCTGATACGCGATCCTCACAAGACAAGTCAAGGCAAACTAATTGAGGCTTACCTAATGTCAGACTCTTCTGTCACTGGCATTGGCGGCTTCTGCATGTGGAGATAACCTCGAAGAGCAGTGATGAGCACAGCCTGAGGCTAATGCAAGGATACGATCTCGTAATCTGCGAGGTCCGCTACGCAAGAAACCTTGGGCCGTCTTGTCGACAGCGACGGCAGCATCCTACCAGCAAAATCATTCCCGCGGGCTGGGCATGGCTATACACTTTTGTCCACGCTCGCACCAGTCGGAGTCCCAAACGAATCGAGATTCTGGTGGCCAAGCTACTCGTCTTCTGTCGGACGCAGCTGCTGACGCATCTTCTTCCTCCACATTTGTTACACGCGATGGCAGCTCCTCAGCAGAGTATCTGGGCTCCCTGCCCCAACCATACGCGGCGGTGGGCTGTTGGTCGTCCTCACTGGCCTCAGCATCGCTGCCTTCATTGCTGGGGACAGAGGATTGTTCGGAATCGCCCATCTTCCCTTGAAATACCAACTAAAATTAGTGCTTGTAGACTGGCGAAGAGAAACGACTTTGCCACAATGACGTAGGCAGCCCGTGATGATGTAACCAAATGGCCGCATGACGTCAGGGCGCGGCCCCCGTTTTTGCAATTTCAAAGTGAAATATCTCAAGAACGCTTCGTCGTAGAGACTTCGGACCAAGACCATTCGACTCAGCGCCCGAAACTCTACAGGCTATCAAAGTATTAGTTTCATTTTTTCGTGGAGTTCCCCTTTAAAACAAAATGGCGTCACGATTTATTGAAAGTGGTATAGTTGGTGGAACGAGTGTTCAAACCCATTTGAACTTCATACTGTTCGTCTTCTTTTTGACATGCTCTCTTTCCATCGTCCTTAGCTTTTGTTTGTTGAGAGCTGTTTTGGCTTTCTCCTATACCTCTGGGGGATGCCAAGTGATGGTTTTGAGAGGCTGGTGATGGCTGTGAGCGAGAGTTTGCCGATCGGCGTCGTCCTCGCTATAGCGATGAAAATACTAGTTACTGCGCACCTGGCAGATATCACAACACGTCGGAGCGTCCAGGAGCAAAGGAATCTTGGGTTTTCACTGGAATCTAGTTCCTCCAGCATCGTGTAGCCCACCGTCGGTGAATGGCGGTCCAGAAAGGTCGAAACTGGTCTTCTGCAGCATCTCGCAGTCCTGCGAGGCACACTGAATACGCCTGTCATGTATTCTACAAATAAAAATCACGAAGTAGTGGACTTTACAGTGATGAGTCTATCCTGTATGCTGCAAAAGACGCAGGAAATGTGACTGGTGTCCGTACACTGGACGCCAATATCATCCCAGTCTTCTCCTGCAGGATCTGTTTGACATTGACATACCGGTATGCAGTGGGTCGACATTGGCCTGGTTTGGCAGCTATCTGCCTGGGTGGATGTAGCAGGTTTGCATTGGCGCGTCGTCCAGTCCGACATTTTCTTGTAACTGTGGAGTACCGGCAGGGTCTGAGAGGTTGCTCGTGCTGTGAACACATCTCTACTGCCTGTTTCGTCCTGGAAGCGCCGTCTCGCCGCTTCCTTGCTCTACAGTCACGCCGTTATTTCGCTTTGTTTCGTGGTGCAGCTCAAAACCTGCCCAAACAACTGTGAGCTCGCAACATGGTATGGACAAATTGCACCACTCATGCTGGTTAACTAAAACCGGGATAGTCGAGTAAGCGAGTTCACTCCCTGGGCCATGGCAAGATCTGTTCAGCGCGGGCTATTCCAACCTCCAAGTGCATAGTCACCGATCGATCCATGCGATGGTGGTTGACCTACAAAGAGCCAAGGTCTACGAGTACTACTATTGGATGCTGTCTACATGCAGTCAACAAAATCAAAGTACCTCAGTATGCCCCAGAACAGGGCATGTGCATCTATAGCATGACACAACAGGGGTTCTGGCGGCACCTGTCAAACAAGCAGTAGCGACTAGTGCCAGCTACGTATTGGAGGCTAGCCGCTACAGTCTGTCACTGGAGATAATTATTATGTTCACTGTTTAGACTGAGCACAATCAATGATGCCCAATGTGTGTTCTGTTCCACCTAATTATAACGTCCCATCGCATCAACCCTACTACACGCACATGTCGTCACTCTAGCACGACTTGTGTTATTATTGTTTATTTTGATTCGCACGATAAATAGAGCACAATAAACGTTAACTTGACCGAAGGTTAAAGGCGACTGCAGATAGAGGAACACATCAAGGTACAGGTACCGGCATCAATACAGTATCAGAGAGGTACGCAGAAAAAACTCTCGTAAGCCCAAGGGGAAGTGGTTGATGAGGGATGAATGCACTCTCCACGCTTGTCTACACTGTTCGTGGAAATGCACACATACATACAATAATATACAACATTTAGAAAAGCGATCCTGTCAGCTTTTCTATTATTGTGTTCACATGGCAGAAAAAACGACACCGCTATGCTACGTAAGTTTCTACGTAAGGTGCTCGGTACTTCACTTATAGATCTACCAACGCGTGGTAGCCGCGTGCTGTGCACGTGCATGGCAGACATTGTGTTGCATGCAGTGCAGTCCGTTTTCGGATGTGCATGCGCGAGGAACTTCCTTCTTTGGAAATGCTTCTTGCATGAGCTGTTTCGGATATTTCGTGTCCTGGCTTATTTCGCTTCGGCTCTGCTGAGACCTCTTTTCACGGAATATTACTCAATGACAGGTGAGTTGAACAGTTCCCTTTGATTCATTTGCTTGTGTTGACTCTTTCATTTACGAAAAGGGTGCTGATTTTAGGTGGAATTCAATAAAATTAATAATGGAAAAGCTGACAGGATCTCTTTTCTATATTATTAACGTTTCTGCTGTCGAGGCCTCCTTTTACGGGATACTCAATGACAGGTGATTTCTGAATTGACCAGCTACCTTCGATTCATTTGCTTATGCTCACCCTTTCATTTACGGAAACGTGTGCTGATGTTATTCGGATTTAGATCCATTCGTATCTCTTTGCCCTTGCCAACAGTGTGCGAAGAACGCGAGTTCACCTTCTTGACGGTAAGGCTTATGTTGCTGCTGAGGCTTAGATGTGTTGTCGAAATACTCATGTTCATTGTACATTGGTACGTTACAAGTAAGGCACTGGTCATGATTACTTCCGGCATTCCGTGCTCCGATCATAGGGTAGAATATGAATCAGTGGCATAGCATCGTTGGCAGTTCCCAATCTGGAGGGAAAGGACTTACAGTCCGTTTCAAAAAGATTTGCAATCTTGGCGATCGCCCACGGAGTTTGCCGTCTTACCGTATGAGCACTCGAGCGCTGCCTGGAAAAACTCACTGTGAACTCGAAGAAATATTCCGCGCAAAAGCAGGAAAAATGACAACTCACGTTGATACAGTCACAGTCATGTACGTCTGGTTTACAACAAACGAGTTCTTCCTCGTAATGGAGTCAGGAAGGACATGTCGAAACGAAAGTGTTGTAAATGTTGACGAGCGGCATGTGTCCCAATTCGTTTTGTGACCAAAATAGTTTCTTTGAGCTGCGATGCAATTTACTCACCGTGTGACGAAAACGACATCGACACGGACTCATTCCCAAGGCCATGACTTGGCAGAGCTACCCGTGTGACTTCGACGACATTTTGAGAAAAGCAGACGCTTGTGAACGCTGATAGAAGACGGCGTTGACTGCTAAATTCAAATAAATTGTCGATCTTGAAATACTAAAATACATCTCAAAAAGCTACAGCGCGATGACTTCCATATTCACTCACACCATTGCAGTATTGTGGGTGTGTTCACATGGCGTGAGCCAGTCAAGTGTCAGTCAGTTCGGCAGGAAGCGCGAGCTCCAACAACAAGTCGTTTGGTGCAGCCATCTTCTTTGTCTTGTACCAGCTTGATCACCAAAACAATGAAAAAAAGTTTGACTTGAGGATAGGTTGGGATTTGAACTCACAACTTCATGGTCAGCAGACAGCATTCATAACCACAAGGCCAAAAAGGAAGGGATAAATCGTGGGTTTTGATAAAAAAAAATCGATACTGGCTTCCTGGGCAAATTGTAAACCATGGGAAAAGGCCGGAAACCTGGCCGAAATTCTAACTCCTTAACGGCTGGTCCAATTGTTCCGAAACCTTCACAGAACAATTTGCCGTGTCCTAACAAGCCATTCTATGTACTTTGTTGTCCAAATTTCCCTTATCTTCATACTTTTTAAGACCCAAACTTGATTGTAAATCTTTTTGAAACAGACTATAGGTTCAAGGACGCATTGGCCGAGTACTAGTATGCAAATTAAATTTGCATATCAGGGAAAATCTCCATTATGGAGAGGTTCATGCCTTCAGTGACTTGTTTGCTTCATACGAAACAAGCCAATGGGTGCAGTCTCGTCTCGTGAAAATCTCGTACGATCGGATTTGTTTACTCGAGTCTGGGCTGTTTGATTTGTGAGTAGCGCCAAGATTGCACTGCCCCAAATAAAGTTGCGTGCCGGTAGAGCAAGAATTACGATCTGCAATCTGTTTGTAGTACCTGCAAGAATGTGCTGTACATGTATCGTATATTCTCTGTTGTTGTTTCAGTTGCCGTCATGTTGCTAAAGAAAGGTTCAATGACTCATTTCTTTCATAAAAGACGAGTCAATGGTTTGGTCTGGCTTCGAATCTTTCGCTGCAGAAGAAATCTATTCGTGTCTCTATTGGAGAAATAATTGTATTCACTCGTTATAAAATAGGGTTAAGACAAACTCACAGAGCAAATGCCATCGGTCCCTTGATGTTCGTCCTAAAGAGGTTTGACTGGATATCATTCATACTCCCCCGAAGTCGTGTAACATGTTATTATTATGGTGTGCCTTGTTTATCTCTCAGTACCTCCAACGATATATCCTTGCCCCTTATATTCTATATATATACTGCAATGTATTTGTTTACATTTTAATACATGTTTATTGTTCCTACTTTGCTGTGTTGTTTTAGACAATCGTGGACTTGTAACGCTTTGAAGTCATTGAACTGCTTCCAAAATGTTTATCGACATCAACAGGATTACGATTTCACTACAATAATGATGCCGGATGACCTTATCACGACAACCCATGACTACAATTATAAACACAGAATCAACAAAAACATCTGCGGCACGCACCTTGTTACAATTCACAAGTAAATGTGATTTAGGGTGTGGACACCTGAATTTTCTGAAAGACAAGACAATTTTATGACAGAGTCATGAAATTCTGCAACATCCACAGAATGACCTGCGTATAAAAAAAGTATCACCGCCACTACCCATATGATTCCCCTGCAGAAGAACATGAATACATGTATGCAAGACTGGTTCCATTTTCTGCAAGAAAAGGCTTGCACATCAATGCGTATATATACGACGGTATTGAATTTGATATGATACACGTACATAGGGGCTCCCGTAAGAAGACCATAGGTCTGTGGGAAACACCCTAGTAAAATAAAATAATAATAATAATAACATGTAGAGGCGCTACATGTAGGCATTCATTTATTTGGGCATTTCATTGGTGACACAATTATATCCTTTAGCCAAAAAAACAAAAGAAATTATAGCAATAAAAACTGCTTTATGGCAGTTTTCTAAAAAAAGTTATTGTGTTCTGGTCCATGGACCCCGTCTAAAAAGTAAGAAATTAACGAAATGTGATAGCCGAAAATTAAAATTTCACAC